AATAACTAAAAACAGATCAGAGGGAGTAGCAAGTTGCTATTTAGCATTCAAAGAACTAAGTAGGAGGTTTAACAAAAGCAATGAACTCCAAAAACTAAATTCGCACATATGCAGGAGAAGAGCAAGGTAGACGGAATTAACGAATTAAGAGCGGGCAACCAATGAGATCCTCTCATGCAAGAAGGAAAACCTTTTAACATTCATCAATCATCAAAGAAAAACTCATATGTAATATTAAGTGGAGGAGGGAAAATACCATTTCTTCAGAGAAGCTCTGCACTAGGTTGATGACTCAAGTTCACAGATAAAAATTGAACAAAAACACAAACTTAAGTTGTCAAACATGATAGCATTAAGTAAAAGCACACAAAAGTTTATAATAGAATTCTAACTAACAAAACTATCCTACACCTTAATGGCATACTTTCTCATGGGGAAATACATTTCTCTCTTCTTCTCCCTTTCCGTCTTCAAGGAAGCCTGACAAGCAAAATAACTCATATTTAGATTAAACTGAAAGTTACACACATACAAAGTAACAAAAAGGCTACAAAAGCTAACTGCAGATTCTCTCAATAAAATGTTGTAGATGACCAAAACATCCAACAATGAGAGACAATTTTAGATTAAAAAGTAAGCAACGTCTCTTGGCATCATTCCAAATTTCAGAAGTGAAACACATCAACACAAAAGACAGCTGCTTTTACATGCACAAGACAAAAACAAACAATCCAGTTCAGCAACAAGCTGCAAGACAAATATGATCTAAACAAAAACGTCCATCACCATAAAATTCAACAACATATAGTGTTCAACTCCAAAGATGAGCAACCTTTGTTCTAGAAAGAATACACAATTATCAAGGGTACATGTGTAGGAAAGGTTCAGCCAAAGAGCATCATGAATCTTGAGTCATGAGAAAAATTGCTTAATTTATTTTACTCCTGTTTAAGACAAGAGTACATCCATCCCACAATTCTTGCCACTGTCATTACTTAATTATTATCAGTTCCCTAGTGCCTCAGTAACAATCGTTATCCAAATGCTTGGCAAGTTATGTCCTAAAGCTGTAACCTTTTCAATATTAATCTAGTTATTGCAAAGATTTTTCGGTAGTTAACCATCAAAGACTACACAGCCAGTAACATCAAAGAAAACAGAAATTAAAATCAGAAGCAGATTGATACCTGGTGCTTGGTAAGCCTTCTCCTGATGGCTCTGGTCTTCTTGGGGCGCAGATCAAGGGGTAAGTACTTCTTGTTCTTGTATGCTTCCCTCAGTGCCGTCTTCTGCTTCTGTGAAATCACTGTCAACACCTGGGCAATATTCAACCTCACCACCTTACTGTATCCACAACAACACAAGCATCAATGAACACAAATCACAGCAGTAAAAAATCAAGCAACATAATCCCAAAACATACGAGAACAAACTTACATCTTGGAGAGCTTGTTGGTGGCACCGCCGGTGACCTTGGCGACGCGGAGGAGAGCGAGCTCCGTCTTGAGATCCTTCAACTGGTTCAACAGGTCGGATTTCGATATCTGCCTCAGCTCGTGCACCTTGATCCTCGCTATTAAAATTAAGATCATGGAATCAGAATAAGAATTCAGAGACCAAAGTCAAGAATCAAAAATTATATGTTTACAGCAATTCATTCTTACCCATTTCTTCGGCTGCTGTAGTCGGACGGCGTCTCTCTGCTTCTCCTGATACGAAACCCTAAAATGAAAGCGGGAAGATTAGATATATATTTAGGGTTTTAGGTTTTTGTAAACGCAAGTAGCTTTATTTGGGCTTGGGCTTGGTCTTGGGCTTGGAATTAATAACTTGTCGCTTTTAAGGAACCCGGAAAAATGTTTTTTACTATATTTTGGATCTAACAGAAATTAAATTTGGCCCAATTAGTATTGGGCTGATGATGGAATTAATGTTTATAAGAAATGCGAAAAAAGAGTGACGACAAGGCAGACAATAAGGCAACGACCGTATTTTAGTAATTAT